GCTGCGAGGCAACAGTGCTAACCAACTGCGCCACCTTGCAGCCCTAACCGTAACTCTTTTCTTAAAAAACGGCGAATGCTGTTCAGTGTCACAGTTGTGCAGAATGCTGCCCTTGCACGGTTTGTCCACTAGATAGAGCTCTGACTCCATTCAATCCTCAGTCCTCGCTGCTGTCTTCTCAGTAGTGCAGGAGCAAAGCTGCAGTCAGGCAACATTACAGGAGTGGGCTGAGCGGTTCAGACGGCCGCCACCGGCACTCACAGTTTTTGGTATGAGTCATTATCAACGTCTAAAGCACATATGTCAAACTCAAGGCCCGCAGGCCAAATCCGGCCCATCACGTCATTTTATGTGGCCCAGGAGACATGTGTGTTTCCTAAGCTGATAAATAATAGGATTTACCTGATATAATATAATGTAATATAATGTTATTTATGTTATAATAACACAGCAATGTGCCTACACAGGGCTCCAGACTGAGACCAAAATGTGACCATTTATGAGTGTGTGCGAGCTGAAGTTTCACGTGGTCGCATTGTGCGAGTGAACGATGATCATCAGGTTGATCTGGTTCCTTCTGTCGGCACAGGTAGCTGCTGCTCCAGTTATTATGGTGGGAAATAGTCAGATTTCTTCCCCATTGACTCAGTGTTTCTCTGCCTGATGGTAAAACAGTCAGTTTCACTGTTGCTGTGTTCCAATGACACAACAATACATAGCCGATTATGTTTTTTAAAAAAAGAAAAAAAAGCGAGGTGAGAGAGGGAGAGGGACACACCTGATGATAAAAGTGTTCAGGTGCAGGCAGACAGATCTTGACTGAGTCAGTGAGGAAGAAAAAGAAGCCCCACAGTCAATCTGGAAGATTCACATTTTAACAACAATCACGATTTTGACTCTATAAACCCGAAGGTCAGAGGTCTGGACATTTAAAATGCGCTCAGCTCGTAGAAATGTCCGTTAATAAAAACCTCTGCTATAAACGCTGCTAATAGAAAACTTTTGAACTTCTGCAAATTAGTGTAGAACTCGCTTTCCACTGTTTTCCAACTAATGTTTGGTGGCTGACCTGTCAGAGGAGCTGCAATGCAGACACCTGGTAGCATCTGCCAGAGCAGCATGTGAGGCGTTTAGGGAACATCGGTAAAATGTGCCATCAACTCATACACATGTTCAGCAAGTGATTAGCCTGTGTCCAGCTAATGACTGATATCAGAGGAGGACTGGTGACAAAATAAATATATTTTCAGGTTAAAACATTTTACAAATATCAAGTCTTGTATCACTGAAAATCATTGCAACATAACTAAGTTATGCAAAAAAAAGCTATTCATCAGCTGCATGGTGCATTAATAGCTGTGGCAGTGCTGAACCAAAACAAGGGGGTGGGCGACCAAATTATTAGCTGGTGCAACCGGCAAAGAAAGTTGAAAGCACCATTGGAAAAGTTATTCTGGAGCCCTGCTACATGTGTCTTACTTTAAGATAAAGGCATGCACAATAGTTGTACATATAATAAATAACAATCAAATGCAGAGACAATTATTTAACAATATGTTAAGGAGTTGTTACATTACAGTCTTACAATTACAACTGGCCCTTTGAGGGTAAATATAATGCTTATGTGCCCGGGATGAAAATGAGTTTGACATCCCTGGTATAAAGGCTCACGACACAGCATTTGAGAATACCGTCAACCAGCTAATAATAGCACATGACATGTTCTTTCCTTTTGCCATCAGATGGCGCTATGACTGTGAATGGATATTGGCATATGGGTTTCATCAGGGCAGGACTGTGATCAAGTATGTAAAGTTTGAGGCAGATTGGAGCATGTACAGGTTGTTGGACATGCTTCCTTTGTGATGGCGAATCATCACAGTTCAGAGGGCTGCCATTGCCACGCCCTTAGACTTTTGATGACTTTTAATCACCCAGCCCTGTTGGATGCGCTGGCCAAATTTGAGGTGTGTAGGAGTTAACCCCTAGGAGGAGTTCGCTTTTGAAAATGACAAAAATATCAAAACAATTGCAGTTATTTCAAAATGGTGGACTTCCTGTTGAGTTTACGGTATGGGTCCAAGAGGCTTTTTTATGTGCCTGATGTGTTACACGTGCCTCCTAAATTTTTGTAAACGTTGGTTAAATGTCCTGCGGGGGCTAATAGATCAATTGCTGCAGGGGGCGCTATATGGTCATTTTGCCAAACAGCCACACATTGTCTGTCATTGAGCCGATATTGACTTGTATGTCAATTTTGATGAGTTTATGAGCATTCCAAAGCTGTCAAAAAATCCTTTGCGTGTCATAACAACTATGCGTTGCCATGGCAACACAGTTGCTTGAAAACACAACAGCTTCATGCTGTAGCATCGTCAATGTGGGAAGACTTAGTTGACCAATTTTAGGAATGATATCACAAAGTTTGGAGAAATGGCACATGGAAGTGTAATACCTCAGCCTGTTGCCAATAGGTGGCGCGATGACTGTGAATGGATTTTGGCAAATGGATGTGATCAGAACTGCAGTCTGATCAAATATGTAAAGTTTGGGGCAGATTGGAGCAGGTACAGGGTAGTTAGACTGTACTTCCTCTTTCATGGCGAAGGATCAAAGATCAGAGGGCCGCCATGGCCACGCCCTTTGACCTTTGCAGATGATTTTGATAACATTTTACCTTCAAGGCGTATTCTGCTTGCTACCCAAATTTCAGCTCTCTGTGACTTACCCCCTAGGAGGAGTTAACTCAGGTTGGACAAATGAACAATCCAAAATGGCAGACTTCCTGTTGGGTTTAGGGTATGGCTGTCTCTTACTTTTTTGTTCGTCCTGACCTCCTCCATATACCTACCAAATTGCGTAGGTCTAGGTCAAACATGCTTCCGATGGGACTCCGTTTAAATTCTCTAGGTGGTGCTGTGGAGCCATTTTTCTATTGAGGTGTGTATAAAATTTTTCGCCGGGTCTGATGTGTGTGCCAAGTTTTGTGAGTTTTCGAGTATATTTAGGACCTGAAAAAAGTGGTTCTTTGTGACGAAGAAATAATGACATAGCAGTTCCAATAGGGTCCTATGCACTGTAGTGCTCGGACCCTAATAATAATCTTAAGGGTTATGATAGGGTCCTTGCACCGTTAGTGCTCGGACCCTAATAACTGAACTGATGCAAAAAACACTGTAAAAAATGTTTTCAAACTTTCATTTTTCACCAGGAGATGAATAACTGTATGAAAACAACCACAAAAAGTTCAGTTTCAGTGTAAGTATATGGAGGTTAAAAGTGGTCCTTTCTAGTATCTCTCATTATCAGGTGTAATCCACACCAGTTTACCGCTCTCATTACGAGACCCTCAGAGGGGCCGACGCTGACATGCTGACAGGTTGCTTTGCATAAGCCCCGAGTACTCGCCTCAGAGGCTTTCCATCCTGGAAACCTGACCCATCTCTTCTGACATGTACATCGGGGATATCCTGAGCGTAAATGGGCCAACTTTCCATGACAGCAAGAGGTCTAGCAGAAACTGCCACTGGTCACTGGCGTTAATCTGATGTGACAACCATTACTGACCTGTCAGTCAGACAGAATACTAGGTAATGGTGAGTAAAAGGCCAAGGCTGCAGTGGTGTGAATCAGATGGCAGTGTGGTGGTGGTGGGGGGGCGGCTATGACAGGCTATGGGGGAATTGTGGGAAACGGCACCGGCCTGTCCAGAGCCGGAGGGGACAAACACACCACAGCTGTTGCTGCCTGGACAGTGATGCAAGCAGCCAAAGTCCTGGGAAGCTTTCCCATATGTCTCCCAGCATCGTCAGTGGTGCTGGATTTTCTCTTTTGATTTGTCTTCGGTGCTTAAATTTGAGGAGCCATGGCAACCAAGTAAAGCCTCAGCACAAAACAGTAAGAAAGCTTACTGTCCACACAAGAGTGAAATGTAGTTTTTGTCAAGTGGGTTTGCCTTTAAATGTTTGAGATCTTCTATTTATAAACAGGTAATTTCTGCTTGTTGGAGGCACTGCCAAATGCCATGAGGTTCATTTCCTGTCTCTTCATCAATTTCAAGAGGCATGTGGGAAAAGCAGGGATTTTTTTTTTTAAACAAACTTTGCTGCATGTCTTTTTTTTCTCCATAAAAGGTTGAGCTGTGTTTGAGGGCTTTAAAAAGTGCCACAGGGGGTTCCTGCCAGCTCATTCTGAACACAATGCTACTGACAAGGAAGTGTGGCATTTTTTTTTCTGACATTAGATTGTATTAATTAAACTTGCACACCTCCAAAATGTGTGTTTTGCCATATCGAGCCGACAGTAAATGTCAGTGTGATAAGTACAGTTTGGAGAGGGAGTATTGTGCCAAATGCCACAAAAACACACTAAAGTACTGGTGGTTTTGTGCACTTGGAGCTCCCAGGATCCACTCTGAAACCGCTGCTACACCCCTGTTGTGAATATTTTCAGTCATTAGGCTGTCTCTGCGTCCTAAGTGATGCGTCACATGGATAGGTGCGGTTTGCGCAGCGCAACTCCTCAAATAGTCCATATTTGTCGGGCTGATGCACTGAGAAGCGAGCACTTCTGGAGCAGCTATATTTAGATTCTGTTACTTTTTTGCTGTTGTTGTTGTTGTATTCATAGTTTCGGAGCGCAAGTTTCATTTCCCTCTAGGGATGGGCCACACATCCAGCACTTCTTCAGACGGATCATTCACAAACAGAAAGCAGTCAAGAACCCCACTGAGTTGCTGGCAGCGCTGATGCTGTGCAGCTGCAACGCGCTTATTCTGAAACCGCTGGACAGGAGCCGAGAGCAGGTTACACATATCCAAATATGCGCGTAATTGGAGCGCACTGGCGAGGCGTCCCTTGCACCTCTATCGGGATAAGATTGTCGTGATGTTCAATACTTCGGGAATTGAGCTCACTTTTAACAAGAAAGAGGATATTTCCGAAGTTATCAATGGCACTCTGCAGCTTCTCTACGTCCTCGTCACCACCAGCCCCACAACCATGTGGAACGAGTCGTGCGGGGAGCAGCTGCAGGACTTCGGCCGCCCGGAGAAGATCATCATCGGGGTGATGTTGGCGATTATCACGGCGGTCACCGTGATGGGAAACACGCTGGTGGTGATCGCGGTGTGCGTGGTGAAGAAACTCAGACAGCCTTCAAACTACCTTCTGGTATCTTTAGCGGTGGCGGACCTGTCAGTGGCCATAGTTGTGATGCCGTTTGTAATAGTGACAGACCTCACCGGGGGCAAGTGGCTTTTTGGGGAGGTGTTCTGCAACATCTTCATCGGCATGGATGTAATGTGCTGCACTGCCTCCATCATGACTCTGTGTGTGATCAGCGTGGACAGGTGAGTTTCCGAAGTTAGCAGCCGCACCGGAGCTGCTTTCACACCGAAGGCTGTCGTTCTGCAACGGAACCAAAACTACGCATGCAGCGCGCCGTGCGTTAAAAACGACACAGGCACGACAAGTATATCGTCTTTCATACGCAGCCCCATACCACTTAAAGTCACTGAGAGCAGAGAGAGATCAAGAACCAAACAAATTAAGCAATCAACTGTAAGTTAAGCGCATGAGGTAATGGGCGTTTTGCGCTAGAAAAATGTAATTTAAATTCCTAATTCCCAACCAACCGTCTCTCTGATTATCTGTGCAGTTGAAGGCACTGAACGAAAAAATTAATACACAGACTGTGAATAATTCATAGCAGGCTTCATTAATTTGCTTGATCGGACCACGGGGCAGGGATTCCTGTAATTACGCATTTAGGATGAGCGCCCATTGACCTCTGAGCTGCACTGACTTTTATAGATCGCCCTGCATGTGTGCTTGGGTCACACAGGTCGCATCTAAACCATAAAACAAAGCAAAAGCTGGTGGAATTCCCTTCACAGCCATACTGCTCTGTGTAAAGTTCATTTAGGCAAACTGACTTGTTTTCCTGCTTCACTACATACATAAATATGAGATTTATCACACTGGTGCTTTGCATTGTTCCAAAGAATATTCATGAAAGTGAGTTCCCAAATGCTTCACAGCCAGCTGCTTTAAATTCCACTTTCGAAATGGGAAAAGTAAAACCTGAGCAATCATCCCCACCCCATCCAGATCCCAATCTGCATCTCAGCACAACCCCTTGGAGTCACTGCTCATAAAGCCGGAGCAGAGCCTGATAGCTCAAGACAAATGAAATATTCCCAGTGCTCTCCCTACAACCCACAATGAAATAAATGTCAAGCGATTGGTGTAACTGTTCTGCTTCAGTAACCATAATGAAGACAAAAGCTCATTCCACTATTGATGATCTGGTTATTTCCTCCTGCTTGCCAATCAGGTATTATTACCTCAGAGTATTACACCCAGAATTGTGCATGTTTCCTTCTCGTAGATGAGCTGAGCATGAGGGACTTAAGTACGCCTCAGGAGCTAATGATATTATGGGAGGAACTGGATCGCAGATAGCATGCTGTGATAGTGTGATTGTTCATGTCGGCTGAGGGGAAGCTAACAGACGTATGCATGCTTTCTGGGGTGGTTGGATAGAAGAATGGATTAGATAGAAGTCACAGTTGTTGTTGAAAATGAGCATGTGTCATCTGAGGCCACACAGACCCCAGTCAGGTCATACACTGGTCCCATCAGTCAGTATGGACCCACATCACATCATCATAACACTGGAAAATATCCAAGGAGGCAAACATACAAATTCACAAAAACTAACCTGAGTGGAAATAAAAAAACATGAAAACAAGCTTAGCCTTGATATGCAGCGAAGGATAAGAAGGGGTGTAACAATGCATCTTTGTCGAATCTCAGTGATTGTATCTGATTTGAGATGTGAACAGCTCATAGTATAGACTCAGAGAGAAGAGGTGGACCTTTGTGTGAGTGAACAGAGATAGAGCAGCTGATTGAATCTGTTACCATGAAATCATAGCGTGCACACCTTCCAAACCGTTTTGTCTGCGTCTATCTGCTTTTTGCTTGGCACTAGACAAACTCAGAATTTAAAATAATGTTGTGTCAGTTTGGATTTATTTTCATCCCCACACAGGCTTACAGACAGCTCTGTAAACAGTTTGTGCTCATCTCCGTGAATACAGACTCATTTTAATTAAACAATGCAGAGTGTGTTTGGCATATGATTCACAATGGGAATCATAGAGATAATTCATTAGGATGGGAATTGCCAATTAGACGCATGATTAGTTGTAATTAAGGGTCTTTCACTGCCATCGATGCTTCCCAAGGACGTGCATTAAGCTGAAGAGAGGGGAGCGCTGTGAAACAGGCTCAGGACCGATCAGTTGTGTTTGTGGTACAGTCCCTGAAGCCTGGATGCTTGGCTACAGAGAGGAGGTGGGGGGGGGGATCGATTTACTCTCAGGGCTGCTTTAGGTTGACAGGGGAGAAGGTGCACTGTGCTGTACATGCCAGCGTAGAGAACGTGGTGCCAGAGGGGTGCTCCTCAGTGTAAGTGGCAAATTCATTTATGATCCTGCTGGAAGTTGACAGAGTTTAATAGGTGCACAAAGACTGCTGTCATCCTGGTGGAAAACAGTATCTCTGACAAGTCTAATTATTAGCCCACTTGGGATTCTGGGGGCAGAAATAAGCTGTGAACCACAACATAAACTTATATAATGAAGATTTTAAAATAAGGGCTGGCTCAGTGGTTAACACCGTTGCCTCGCAGCAAGAAGGTCACCGGTTCGTGTCCTAGTGAGGACACCCGGGATCTTTCTGTGTGGAGTTTGCATGTTCTCCCCGTGCAGCGTGGGTTCTCTCCGGGTTCTCCGCTTCCTACCACAGTCAAAAAACATGTTAATGTTAATTGATGATTCTAAATTGTCCATAGGTGTGAATGTGAGTGTGCTTGGTTGTCTGTCTCTAAGTGTAGCCCTGTGATAGACTGGTGACCTGTCCAGGGTGTCCCCTGCCTTCACTCTGAGTCAGCTGGGATAGACTCCAGCCCCTTGCAAACCTAGTGAGGATTAAGTGGTGTATAGATGATGAATGGATTTTAAAATACTTTTTTGACACAGTATCCTTCTACTTTACAAAACAATCCCTAAAGCTGAATTGCTCTACTGATGAAGTAATGTACATGCAGATGGAAGACAAAAGATAGATTTTTTAAAAAAGAATTAAAAAAAAATCAAAGCAGTAGATTTATCCTTAAGCACAGGTTTAAGCCTCTAAACACTGAATCCTACATTTCCCATATTGCAGCTCAGTAGCCTCCTTCGTTGGAACCTCCCAACCTAATAAATGTCCACATCTCTGAAACCTTTAAAAAGTGTCTTAACAGCTAAAGAAGACTTTTGTCCCCACAGATTGAATAAGTACTCACTGTGACAAATAAACTAAACATGATGTGTAAAAACAAGAGAGCGCCTTTTTTTTTTCTTTTTTCTTTTTTAATAATTCAGAGCCTCATTAAAAACTCATTTCATTATATTTTTAGTTGATAGAGCAATTCAGTGGTGCATACTTATAAAGAAATTTGTAATTAACCAAATGACTAGAGGCCACACACATACAGGTCTGTGGCCCTGGTGCAGCTGCTTGAGTTGTGCAGTTGCTGGTTCAGTGTACTTCATTGTGTTGTGACTAAATGTGCACATGCAGTCATTTTGTGGCTAGACTGTGCCTTTTAAATATTCTAACAACTGTTTAAACACAGTTCAAAACACTCTTGACACCAGCACAGTGTTTCAAAACAGGTGACGGTGGTTTAGCAAGAAAAGACGAATTTCCTGTCTCAGCAAACAATGTGGGAAAATGACACTCTCGCTGGGCTTAAAGCATTTTTAATCTTCTCACATTAGCATAGCAATTGAGAAATTGTTGGTGTTAATAACCAGATAGGAACATTTTGTGTGGGTGCTTTTGATCTAATCCAGCAGGTTAAATACATGGCAAATGAAACTACTACTGAACAAAAAAAAAAAGATAAAAATTAAATATTGCCATGAAACAGTCCTGCTCGTGGATTTGCAACATTTTCCACAATGATCTCATACACTCAGAAATACTAAGCAAGTATCAAAGCAAATGATGAGGCAAAAGTTCTCTTTGTTGGTACATTTATATTGTCTATATTGTCTTTGCACCAAACCTGCTTAATGTGAGGGTGATGGAGGTAAAGAATTATTATTCAGGTTTGAAATACCATTCCTCTTAAAACATCCTCCAATGAAATTGGGTTTTACTTTGTTTGCATGTCCATATGGTGTTTTTGAGTAAAAAAAACAAACAAACAGTAATTTCTACCTTGATACTGTAGTGTACCAATGACAGTCTCAAACACACTGATTCAGACTACCAGAGTTCTTTGCGCTACAAATGTAGGGAACCAATCTTGCTATTCTGCAGGGTGACGCTTTCTGGATCATTGTTCTTTAGAATTGCTTTCTGGTTTAAATATGTCTGGCCAAACTACTCCAATATTACAAGTTTCTATTGTGTAGTTCACAGCAGTTTTACAGTGTTTAAGTGGAGTTGTGTGAGCTGGTGAGCTCGAGCTGCAGCGACTGGGGGACTACAAATGGAGAGAATCAAGCACACTCACATTAACACCTATGGACATTTTAGAATCACCAATTAATCTCAACATGTTTTTGGACCTGCTGGAGGAAGCCAGAGAACCTGGAGAGAACCCATGCTGCACAGGGAGAACATACAAACTCCACGCAGAAAGATCCCAGGCATTCTAACCAGGACATAAATCGGGGATATTCTAGTGATGGTGCTAATCACCAATCCACCAAGTAGCATGACTGTATAGACACTGGTGACAGTAATTTAGCATGAATTTTACGAACTACTTCTCACTTGATTTATGCCCTGAGTAAGCATTTTCCTAATAAGTTTATGGTTTTTTATTTTTATGGCTTTTTTGAATAAAGCATGGGGCTGCAAGGTGGCACAGTTGGTAGCACTGTTGCCTCGCAGCAAGAAGGTTGCCGGTTCGTGTCCCGGTGGGGGCACTGGGATCTTTCTGCGTGGAGTTTGTATGTTCTCCCTGTGCAGCGTGGGTTCTCTCCGTGTTCTCCGGCTTCCTCCCACAGGGTCCAAAAACATGTTGAGGTTAATTGGTGATTCTAAATTGTCCGTAGGTGTGAATGTGAGTGTGCTTGGTTGTCTGTCTCTAAGTGTAGCCCTGTGATAGACTGGTGACCTGTCCAGGGTGTCCCCTGCCTTCACCCTAAGTCAGCTGGGATAGGCTCCAGCCCCCCCACGCCCCTCGTGAGAATGAAGCGGTGTATAGATAATGGATGGATGGATGAATAAAGCATGGTGTTTATTTAGCCAATTATGGTCTCAATAAGAGTTGAATAGATGA